AAAAGCAAAAACAAAAATACTTCGTCTTCAATAATTCTTTAAAAGAATATCCTGTTAAAGGGAAAAAGAGGAAATAGTAATGTAATAATAATAATAATAGGCACATTTCATATCATACTTACTGTTTAACATGCACAGTTTTCTAAGTGAATTGTCTAAATTAATCCTCATGACAAAACCGTAAGATATGCACCATTTAATCTCTATTTTCCAGATAAAAACTGAGGTGTAGAGAAGTTAAGTAATTTAGCCAGGTAAACTACGTTGCTTTAGGTAATACACTTGAAAGAAACATCAGTGCTTCTTGGAGAAATGGCTGGTTCCAGGGCAGGGCAGCAAAGATAGCACAAAGATAAACCTAGACTATCTTACTACTGCTAACACAAGGAAAGGCTCAAAAGAATGACATGTCAGAAGGACACAGGAGCCATCTCAAAGGGCCTGCAACTGGAACTGGACAATTTGGGATACTGGCCACTAAAATATATGACAGTAACAGACTGACTCATTGACTAAAATAATAATCGGGGATTACTGGAGATAGAGGGGGAGAAGAGTAAGCAGTACTTTACCATAGAACGCCAACTAATAAATATGAATGAATGATACAGGGAGTAACCCCTCCATTTTAGAACCATCATAATAACTGATAAGGAAGGAATCTTCCCTGGTAAAACTAGTCAGTGAAAGTGTGGTGGAAAATAGGATATTTCCACAGTCCTGAACTCCCCACAAAATACATATTAATTCAAATTTTCCAGTGAAGAAACCTGGCATATATCACTTCAGTCAAGTGCTCAGCATTACCAAGTGATTCATAATGAAGGGGCAAACCAACATCATGAGTCTCTTCAAGGGTACTGAGATGGAGACAATATCACTTCTGATGTATTTTTGCCCAAAATGCAAAATCTAAATAATCATGAAGAAATATCAGAAAAATCCAAATTGAAAGACATTCTACAAAATAACGGCCTGGCTTCTTCAACAATTAGTGTCATAAAAGGCAAA